GAAGCCTCAAGCTTCTGGGCTCAAGCGATCGTCCCACCTCAGCCTCCTGGATAGCAGGACTACAGGCAGGCACCACCATGCCTGGCCAATTGTTTTATTTTTAGTAAAGATGGGGGTCTCTCTATGTTGCCTAGGCTGTGTTTATAGTATTAAAAGTAAAAACCTATCCCCAAGTCCCTAGTCCTATACCAAGTAAAATTCTATGTATCTCTATATATTTTGTAAAAATTGTCTGTTGTAAGTTTAAAAGAAAACTTTAGGATTTTTAAAAATCATAATCAATGGTAAATTTCTTGGAATAGTTTACATATGTAGTAGACCATTCTCTGTTTAAACAAATTATCAACTTACTGTTGCTGTGGGAAGCTCTTCATTTCACCTTATAAAACTAAATAGTAAGTGCCAACCATATGTCAGTAAGGGATAATCAAGTGTGTTATAAACCCCTTTCCTTTGAGAAAGTCATTTTGATTTTCAGTAGAGCACATACATTTGTAGTGTGTATGTTGTTGCACCTCGGGTATAAATGTAGTCATCATGTATTTATTGAGAATCTACTATACGAAATTGTGTGCGTATGGCATAGAGGAGCTCATTTTCTATGAGTAGAGATGGTTGGGACACAGTTTTCCTGAACACCAAGCAATGTAGATGCCAACTGAATGCTCTAAAACTGTGGTAAAAAATGGAAGTATCATTTCTAATACAAAAACGGTCTGGGAAAGTCACTTTAATGGTTTGTAGAATGTTTCACAGGCAGTTTAGAGATCAGCTGAAACTGAGTCCTAGAGAAGTGGTATGCCCAAGGCCACATCAAGAGCTACTTCGACACAAAAACGGACAAGACTACAGAACTGCTAAGTGTCAGGCCGTTGTTCTTTCCACTCACCACAAAGATACAGCATTTGAACTGACCTTTGAATAGGCAAAGATGGGCAAAAGAGGGAACGACTACTCCAGGCCATTGAGTGGCTTCAGAAATCATAGTAGGTAGTTGAGAACTGCTACTGAGAGTAATACACAAGTAAATAATGACATGTCTTCTTGCTTTTCCCTATAATGTAGGGTTGTATGGGGAAGAAATGTGAGAGAAGACTTTTAAAAACCTAGGTTAGAGGCCAGGCACAGAGGCTCCCACCTATAAAGCCCAGCACTTTGGGAGGCTGAGGGAGGAGGATCACTTGACCATAGGAGTTCGACACTAGCCTGGGCAAGATGGAGAAACCCTGTCTCTACAAAAAAAATACAGAAAGTTAACTGGTCATAGTTGTGTGCACCTGTAGTCCCAGCTACTCAGGATGCTGAGGTGGGAAGATCACTTGAGCCCAGGAAGTCCAGGCTGCAGTGAGCCATAATCGTGCCACTGCACTCCAGCCTTGGTGACAGAGCGAGACCCTGTCTCAAAAAACAAAAACAAAAAAACCTAAGTTGGAATCAGGTACAGAGTATTGTGAATGCCATGCTAAATATTGTGGATTTTATTCAATAGAAAAACAAGGCTCCGTTAAGGTGTTACTAAAGATTTTATTGATTACCAGCTTTAGTTTTATTTCCAGATAGTGTCATTACATATTTGCAGACTAATTTTTTAAAGATCCATTTACAGTCAATTTTGTCTTCCATCCCTCTAGGCATGCATTGTGTAAACATACTTTTAAAATATATATACAGGGAAAGTCTTTCCTATAAATCCATCCATCTGGTATCTGATAAGCTCAGTAGATCCAAATTATAGAGAGCTCGATAATAAGAGACAAACCCTACCAGATGAAAATAACTCCCCTGAAGCTCATCTGAGGAAGATATTGGAAGCTACTTTTTCTTAGGTACCAAACATATTTGAGTTAATTTTATTGTTAGAATTTGATTATCTGTTTTTCCTTAGCTGAGTTTTGGGAGTCCCTGAGTCCCTATAGTTTTGTTCTAGGTCAAAAGGAAGAACAGAAGGTCTAAACAGAGGATGTTTAATGGCGAGGATGTATAGATGGGGGAGTCAGTTGGTGGGTATAGAAGTAGACCCACTAACAGGGATGAAAAAGCTTCAGTGAATAAAGGGAGACAAACGTAGATGGCCATAAAAGAAAGAGAATAAAATTAAACCAAAAGAGCACAACAATTTAGAGTAATTTGCAAAGTGATCCTGAAAATATAATACTTTTGCATTACAGTACAGTATGGTAGTAATTGTTCACAGCAAAGACCCTGTGTCATATAGAACAGGTTCAATTGTGTCCTGAATTTGGAATGCAGAAAAAACATGAGAATCATCTTAGAAACTATCTTGTGCAAAACTTAACCAACTTCAAATATCAAGTTAAAATGTCTGTCACCTAGAAATCCTAGAATTCCTCTTTTTCTAATTAAACTAGAAATAAGGAATAATTATATTTGCATGTATTATCTATTCTTTAGAGTGTTCTAAGCCCCAAATGCTGAGCAGCTTATTTATATTGAACTCATCTCAATGAGGCTTCCATGTGGGTATTTTGTAAGAAAGATTTTAATGCTGCCATACCTCTCCAGATCACTGTCCCCTGGCTTCTGAAGCTGTTTGTTCACTAAATAAAAAGGTCATTGTTCTAAGCTCTGTATCTGCATATGCTACAGTGGGTACCTTCTGAGAAAAAAGTAAATGTGGTATCATGAAAATAGCACCAAATTTGGTACCAAGTAGCTATGTAGCTTTAAACAAATCACCTGACATCTCTTATAGGGAGTCAGTAGATAGTTTCATGAAATCCCTTTCAGCTATCATATTGTAAAAAATCAGTTCTACACAATATTGGTCAGAAAGAAAATCTTACTAGAGTAGAAAGGCTAGATGTAGTTAGTAGAAATAGAATATATTAATGGAGAACACTGGAAAAATCGTCTTAAGAAGTGTCTGTTCATATCCTTCGCCCACTTTTTGATGGGATTGTTTGGTTTTTTCATATATTTCTTGGCTGTATAAATGTTGTTTTTTGAGAAGTGTCTGTTCATGTCCTTTTGCCCACTTTTTGATGGGGTTGTTTATTTTTATCTTGTAAATTTGTCTAAGTTCCTTGTAGATTCTGGATATTGGCCCTTTGTCAGATGGCTAGATTGCAAAAATTTTATCCCATTCTGTATGTTGCCTGTTCATTCTGATGATGGTTTCTTTTGCTTGCAGAAGCTCTTTAGTTTAATTAGATCCCATTTGTCAATTTTGGCTTTTGTTGCCATTGCTTTTGGTGCTTTAGTCATGAAGTCTTTGCCCATGCCTATGTCCTAAATGGTATTGCCTAGGTTTTCTTCTAGGGTTTTTATGCCTTTAGACTGTTGGTGAAAGTATAAATTAGTTCAACCATTGTGGAAGACAGTGTGGCAATTCCTCAAGGATCTAGAACCAGAAATACCATTTGACCCAGCAATCCCATTACTGGGTATATACCCAAAGGATTATAAATCATTCTACTATAAAGACACATGCACATGTATATTTATTGCACCACCATTCACAACAGGGAAGACTTGGAACCAACCCAAATGCCCATCAATGATAGACTGGATAAAGAAAATGTGGCACATATACACCCTGGAATACTATGCAGCCATAAAAAAGGATGAGTTCATGTGCTTTGCAAGGACATGGATGAAGCTGGAAACCATCATTCTCAGCAAACTAACACAGGAACAGAAAACCAAACACCACATGTTCTCACTCATAAGTAGGAGTTGAACAATGAGAACACATGGACACAGGGAGGGGAACATCATACACCAAGGCTTTTCGGGTTGAGGGGCTATGGAAGGGATAGCATTAGGAGAAATACCTAATGTAGATGATGGGTTGATGGGTACAGCAAACCACCATGGCACATGTATACCTATGTAACAAACCTGCATGATCTGCACATGTATCCCAGAACTTAAAGTATAATAAAAAATGAAAAAAGAAAAAACTGAGGATTAAAGAGGTTAAATATCAATTATATGTGAGAGCCATATTTCAAATCCAAATCTGCTCCGTGTTTCAGAGCCTGAGCTCTGCACTGTTGTACTGTGGCCAGAAATGGTTGCATTATAGAAACAGGAATCAAGTAGGATCTTGATTAGCAGATAAGATTTGTGAAAGTGAAAAAGAAAATGACCTCAGGAAAAATAACATATGGAACCACCTTGATTAGAGCAGGATATTGTCAGAGCATATTTTAAATTATTTGAGTTGAGGTGCAACAAGTTAATTATGCATCAAAATATTAAGAAAAATTCTAGCAGCAAAAAGAGGATGAATATGATAGACAAGGGATTGAAATCAGGTAGACCCTTTAGGAGACTTTATTTATAGTAACCCACAACGACTGAATAAAAACTGAACTCCGGGGAGTGACCCTGGGAATAGTGGAGAAAAGTTATCTGGAAGATAGCTCAAGTGAAAAATTGATCAGAACTTGATTACAAATCAAACTGAGAATTAGGAAAAAGAGCAAGTCAACGATCCCACCAGTTTTGGTTTTGGAAGAGGATAGGGATGGGAAAACACTGGAAAAGACAGGGTAGCAAAGGTGGTAAAACCTTGATTTTAATTCCCACATAGCTGTTCAAGTGGAGTGTTGTGTAAGCATTTTATGGGACAGACTTGGAGTTTAATGCAAAAACAGGAATGGAGAAATTTGAAATGTTGGCAACTTTTATATACTCCCTTTATGTTTGCAGCCCAGTTTGCTCCCATCCAGACTTTGACATTTTTTATTAACCAGTTGTGCATTAAGATAATACCATAAATCTGTTTCTACTTTCCAGAAAGAAATTCTGGAACAACAGCAGCAAGAACGAAATGATACCAATTTTCATGGCATTTGTATGTTTTGCAATGAAGAATTCCTTGGAAACAGGTTTGCCATTATGCATCTTTAAATGTTACTGTTTTTTAATCTGGAAACCCATCAAAACATCCTTAACTGTTGGTTATATAAATTAAGTTATATGTGTTGGCTCAGGACCCTTTCGTTTATAAGCAGTACTTTTTAAAAATATGCCCAACATCAAAGATGGACTGTAGTTGCTCTAAGCAGCAGAGGGGTATAAATTCTTAAAATGACAGAAGCAGATTTGTGTTTAATATTATAGGGCTTTTAAAATTGGCTGACCGGCAAGACCATATGCCGCAAACTACTGCAGATGCACCTCCATATACTAACTCGTTTCCTCTGAATCACTGGTAACTTTTCACTTTTGATTATTAAAAATAAAGACATAAAAAAGAAGTGGGAGCACTGGTGATTCTATCACCAATCCCAGCTGGTCCCAAACCAGCTGGTGCAGTACAATTCAATTCTGGCACTAATCACCTGGGATTAGCATCAAGTTTTACATATTTAAGGGCACAGGCTCAAACAAGACTGCCTTCACATTAGATACCCACCATAAACTCATGTGGTCCCAAGACTACCCAAAGTTTTGACCACTGGTTATGAAGTCAGAGGTTCCCACTGATAATTTCATGGGTTTGATAATTTGCTAGAATTACTTACAGAACTCAGGAAAGCACTGTACTTATGATTACAGTTTTACTATAAAGGATACAGATGAGAAACAGCCAAATGAAGAGACAAATTGGGCGGGGTTTGAGAGGGTCCTGAATGAGTTTCTGATTCCTCTTCCCAAGGAATTAGGACCTGTCACCCTCCTAGCACATTAAGGAATTCACCAACCAGCAACCCACTCTGAGTTTTGGTGTCCCGAGTTTTTATGTAGAACTTCATTATGTAGGTATGATTGATTAAATTATTGAACTCCATCAGCAGCCCCCTCCCCTCTCTGGAGGTCTGACTGGCTCAAAGTCCCAACCCTCTAGTCATATGGTTGGTCTTTATGGTGACCGTTCCCCATCTGGAAGCTATGTAGGGTCCTACCAGGAGTCTCCTCGTTCGCATGATAATAAATATACTCCTATCACTAGAAAAATTACTAGAAACTTTATGCTAGGAACAAGGGACAAAGACCAGACACATTTATTATTATGCATCAGTAATGTTTACAAATGTACATTCACTTAAATACAAGTTACGAAGTTGTAACCTCTAGGAACTCAGGATGATTTCACTGATTCAGCATACAGTGGACAATCAGAAAAATATCATTCTCTGCTAACTTGAAAGAAAGCAGTCTTTAGTGAAAACATAGCCCAGCACAGTAACTGACATTGTTACGTGAAAAACCTTGGAAAGGAGAAGGTAGCTACTTATTGGAATTTATGAAAGAGTTTAGTTGAGGCATTAATGTTCAAAACACCAGTGGTAAAGGTTTGATTCTCGGATCAGTTAGCATAGAGAAAAATCTGTGCCACGGCCACTGATTGTACTTCTAACTTTTTCCTTCTATTTCAAAGGACTTTATGGGTATAACAATAAAGGCCAGTCTTAAAAGTTAACTTAAAAGTACCAGTGAAAACCCATGCCACCATCAGAAAAATTACCAAACATTACTACTGACAGTGTTTTAACAAGATATTTCTGATTTTATGTTCAGGTAATTATTGACCTAGTGAGGAGGCATGTGATTATTGTCAGAGATCTCTTGTATTGGCATATGGGAAGCTACAAATGATATTTTTGTTTTCTATAAAGTTCTAGTGATGAATGTGGATATTGATATGATTTGAAATATCTATCCATATGATATTAAATTCTTACAATATTGGTATTTGAACATATTAAATATTAGTGTTTCTCTAGTTCCTAATATAATTCCCCTGTTCCTCTAGTCTAACTTATCTGCATTCGCTATTGAGTAGGGTCACATAGGAATTACATGAGCTCCTCAGGAGTCTTGACTTATGCCATTGTTCTGGCATAAATAAATGTATATTTTTTTTTAAATAACCAGTGAGAAAGATAAATAGTGTCTAGTTCTTATAAAAATCCCCTTTCCTTCATCAGTTCTTTTTATTTATGAAAAGCTCAGCCTGTAAGATGAAAGACACAACCTGATTCCACTTATACACTATATTAGCAGTGTTGCAGGCGTACATTTGTGTCCTCCCAGCATTGGGACATAAAAATAGAAAGAAGGAGGTGGATAACAGACAAGGATAGAGTAATGAGTACTTTCTTCTTACCATACATCTAATTTTTCTCCTCTCCTCCACACCCTTCATTATTTGTTTTAACCTGTTTGTTTTAACCTGTTTGTGTCTTTTAATCTAAAGTATATCTCTTATAGACAGTATACACTTGGATCATTTTTTATCCATTCTGCCAGTCTTCACCCTTTCATTGTAGTACTTAATTCATTTGTGTTTAATGTCATTATTAATAAGATCACGTTTACTTCTACCATTTTGCTATTGGTTTTCAATATGTTTTAGGTCTTCTCATTATTCTCCTCTATTGTTGCCTTCTTTTGTGTTGAATAGGTATTTTCTAGTGTATGATTTTAGTTCCCTTGTTTCTTATACCATGGATTTTGAACTCTTTTTCTTAGTGGTTGCCCTGGGGATTGCAACTAACATTTCAATTGAAAACAATCTGTTTCAGATTAATAACAACTTTAATTTCAATAATATGCAAAAACTTTGCTCCAATGTAGTTTGTTTCCTCCTCACTCCTTTGTGCTATTGTTGTCATACAAATTATGCCTTTATATATTATCAGCTCATGAACATGTTTGCTAATTACTGCTTTATACAGTTATCTTTCATATCAGATATGAGAAGAAAGGGTCCTAAAAATGCAATTATACTGTATTTTATATTTACTTACATTAATTACCTTTATTGGTGATCTTGATTTCTTTATGTAGATTCAAGTTATTGTCTAATGTCCCTTTCTTTTAACCTAAAGAACTTTCTTCAGTTTCTTGTTGGAGAGATTTGCTAGCAATGAATTCTTGCAGTTTCTGTTTATCTGGGAATGTCTTGATTTCTCCTTCATTTTTTTTCTTCCATATTTTTTTGAGGAATAGTTTCACAGGATATAGAATTATTGATTGGTAGTCTTTTTCCTTTAGCACTTTGAATATGACATTCTACTACCTTCTAGTTTCCATAATTTCTGGTGAGAAATCACTTACTGAGGACCGCCTGCCTGTATGTAAGGAGTTGACTTTTTTCTTGCATCTTTCAAGATCTCTCTGTCTTTGCCTGTTGACAGTTTATGTGTTGATAAGGATCTCTTATCTCTTGGTAAGAATCAGTGAATTTGAAGATTGTTCATTTGAGATTTTCCAGTCTTCAGAACAGAAGGAAAAAAGAACAACAACAAAAAAAAATAAACAGCTACAGAGATCATCAATCAGATTCTTACCCTGCCCCACCAGAATTTGTGTTCCTGTTTGTGTGTTTAGTGATTTTCTTGGATTAATTCTCTTGATTTCTCCTACTTGAAGTTTATTGGGTTTCTTAGATGTTTAAATTAATGTATTCCATCAAATTTGAAAAGTTTTTCAGACATTATTTATTTAAATGTTGTTTCTGCCCCCTTTCTCTCTGTCTCTCTGTTTCTTTGTCTCTCTTCGCTCGCCTTTTGGAAATCCTATTATACATATGTCGGTAAGCTAGATCTCTGTAGCTCTGTATTTTTTTGTTTTGTTTTTTTCTTTTGTTTCTAAGACTGGAAAATCCCATTTGACCAATCTTCAAATTCATTGATTCTTACTTCCAGCTTAAGTTTTTTGAGCCCCTCTAGTCAATTTTTTATTTCAGTTATTGTACTTTTCAAATCCAAAATTTCTATTGGTTGTCTTTTAAAAAAAAAACTTTCTGGCTACTCTTGGCCACTCTGTGTGTGATACATCTCTGCTGTGTCTATGGAGCAGCATTTTTAAAACATAAAATAAAATACATAATAATTTATATCTTTTTATTGGTATTCTGTTTGGTAAGATATCATTTTCATAATTTCCTTTGATTCTTTCGACAGGGGTTTCTTTAGTTCTTTTGAACATATTCGTATTAGTTAACTTAAAGTCTTTGTCTACTGTGTCCAACATCTGGACTTTCTCAGGGGTGATTTCTGTTTCTACTTTCTTCCCCCATGTATATAGACCAAAGTTTCTAATTTTTTTTTTGCATGTCTTGTAATTTTTTTGTTGAAAACTCAACATTTAAGTAATATAATGTGGCAACTCTGGAAATTGGATTCCTCCTCCACCCCACCAGGGTTTTTGTTACTTTTAGTGTGTTTAGTGACTTTCTTGGACTAATTCTCCAAAGTGCATATTATTGCTAATGTGTAGCCACTGAAGTCTGCACAGTTAGCTTAGTGTTCAGCTAATGATCAGACAGAGATTTCGTTAAATTCCTTGAACCATTTTATCTTCTGCCCTTTGTCAAGGGGCTTTGTATGTGGGTTGGGACACACCTTCAACACTTCATCAGTTTACAGTTCTGCTTTAGCCTCCACTTCTTGCTTGTGTAGAGTTTCAAGGTTAACCAGAGATGAGAGATTAGGATCTTCACAGGTTTTTCTGGGGCATATATAGACCGGCACATGTGTATGGCCTTCTAGATCCCCAGGAAAATGTCAACTTTCAAAGTCCTCTATAGACACCTCATTACCCAGATTTTCCTTCCAAATTTTTTGGCCTATTGTTTGCTGCAATTAGTATTGCCTCAGGGAACTGTGATGTTACAAAATTGTCACTGATTGTTTCTGGCAAATGCCCTACGGGTGAGAATTTTTTCAATGGGTAGGGTGAATCATGTCAAATAAAGACAAACCCTGTAAATGGGCCTTTTCCCATCACCTGCCATATAGGCTGAATAGTAACAGTCCTTGTAACATTTCTTTCAGAATGGCCCACTTGTATTCTGTCCCCTCCAGTGGCTCTGAGCCTGCTGTTGTCAAGGCTATTGTAGAGCTAAGGGGAGGAGAATGGAATGGGGCAAATTAAAACATCACAAAGCTCACCATTCTTACCACAGTTGAGCCATGTTTCTTAAATAAATGTTCGTTGGATTGTTGCATGCCTCCTGTTAATTCCAGAGTCCTTAAAAAGTTGATTTTGACCATTTTCACCAGTGCTACTGTTTCTTTAATAGAGGAGCAGATTTTCGGAGGTCCATGCCCCACTGTTCCAGAAGTGCTTCTCTCAAAGCTATTTCTTTAATTTAATCCTGTTTGCCCATATCACATTTATAAGTTTAGTGAAAACTGATTACAAACAGTATTAAACCAGGAAAAAAAATGAGATCAGAGAGCACTATGTAGGGAAATATTTATTCCTAAAGTATAGGGAAAGAATATTTGAAAAGGAAAAGTACATGAAATAATTTTTTAAGTAAAACTTCACTTCAGCCCAAAAGGTATTATGTATTTATAGTTATTACATGCTTTTGAGGACCATTATGAAAGTGAAAAAATATAATACCAGTGCTCCTTGATTTACAGTGGGGTTACATCTCAATAAAGTGATTGTACATTTAAAATGTCATAAGTCAAAAAAAATTTAATATACCTAACCTACCTTAGGCATGCTTTGAACAATTACATTAGCCTACAGGTAAGCAAAATTGTCTAACACAAACCGTAGTTTATAATAAAGTTTTGAATATCTCATGTAATTTATTGAATATTGCACTGAAAGTAAAAAACAAAATGGTTGTCAAAGTACAGTTAGGTCACTAATAATAAAATTAAGCTTATAAAGAAAGGAGTTAAAATAATAATTTAAACTGTTACACATTTAATTTCCCAGAAATTAAAGCAAGTTGACATTAGGAATTAATTTAAAAATTAAAGAAATAATTCAGCAATTTGAGGAATCATCTTGGCTGATCAAGAATTAAAGGACTTCAAAATCTGATATGAAGCAGATCACATAAGGTGCCATCTCTACTCCAAAGCCCCAAAGATTTTCTTGGCCGTTTACCAACCAGCAGCTGTGGCTAGAAGGGTGAAGCCTTCCCTCCCTTCTCACCTCAGACTAATAGGCTGAATCAAGCTAATTTTGAATTAGCTAGCAAACCACTTAGGTACTTGTATTAGGGTTCTCCAGAGAAACAAGACCAATAGTATATATAGATATATAAGAGGAGACTTATTATGGGAATTGGCTCACACAATTATGGAGTCCAAGAAGTGTCACAATACGCCATCTGTGAGTTGGAGATCCAAGAAAGCCGATGGTAAATTCAGTCTGAGTCCAAAGGCCTTAGAACCATGAAGTTGAGTATTTAGGGACAGGAGAAGATGAATTTCCCAGCTCAACTATCTGGGCCCCCAAGCCTTGGATGATGCCTCCCCTCATTGGTATGGGCTATCTTCTTTACTCAGTCTGCTGATTCAAATGCTAATCTCTTCCAGAAACACCCTCACAGACACACCTAGAAATACTGTTTTTACCAGCTAGCTGGGCATCCTTCAACCAGGTCAAGCTGACGTGTAAAATAAACCACCATAGTGTTGGAGAGGACAGCCAGCCCCTTCTTGAGCCTGCTGCCAGCTCCATCTGTACCTGGCCCCCCTTTCAGAGCCTGGATATCAGGCTTAGAACCCTGGGTAGTCCTGGCTAAGGATAGGCCACTCCTAGGGGAACCTCCCCTAAAACCAGAAGACATCAAGGACCACCAGATCAGAGCATGGGATCAATTGAAGACTGTTAACCCCACCAACCCTCTTCCTAACACTGACTTGGCCTTCACTCAGTCCCCTTCCAACTCTTAGATGTCAGTTATAGAACCCTTGGTAAACCTGGCTCAATTTTGGCCCACTGTGGTAGAACTGTCCTGAATCCAGAAGGCATTAGGGATGGTAGCAATTAAGTATGTGGCCAGGGTAGCCTCCCAACACTCCTATCTGCTTTGAGACAGCTGCTTGTTAGCCCTCATTCCCTCACTTTCAATGTCTGTATTCCTGGCTGGCAAGCCCCCAAAAAGTTCAGAGCAAGCCTAGGCTCACATGGGCTTGTTCTCAGTAGGGCAGCATAGCCTGGGATCATGGGGACCTTCCTAGTACACCTATACCTCCTGAGCCAGCTACTGTATCTTGGTCCATTCCAAGGCTTGGGTGTCAGGCCTGAAAACCCTGGGTAGACCTAACAGGCTTGGTTGCTGTTGGGGGAGCACTTTGAAGTCAAGAAGGCCTGACCTAGCTAAGCCTGGAAACAAGTTCTAAGGACTGTCAGTGAGTTCCACCCACATCCCTCCCAGCAAGCTGCCGGCTGCAGCCAAAAGCCTTACTAAACCAATCCTCTTAGATCCCAGAAGCCACTGTGGTTTACCTGAACAGAGCCTTCGAGACTGGCCAAGCCTCCAAACTCATTTACCCCATGAGCCAACCACTGGCCTCTCATCTCGTAACTCAGACTCTAGATGCCAGATTCTTGGGCCCTAGAGAGGTTGAGAGCAGGATTAGGCTCCCCTGAGTATATTCAGTGTGACTCTTAATGGCAAGACATTTTGATCCTAGATAACCTGAGGGTGAGGGAAACCTCCCAACCCACCTATACCCCTTGAGTCAGATATTATTTCTGACAGCACCCAGGCACAATCTAGACTCTGGATCTTCATCCTGGAAGTTCTAGGCAGATGTTAACTATGACTTGGCCACTCTAGGAGAACCTGCCTGGATCCAGAGGCACTGTACTTTACCCCAATATGGCCTTGGGGATAGGGGGAACTTTCTGACCCTCTGCCTGACACCCTCTCCCCACCCCAAAACACACACACACCTACCACACTGCCTACAAGAAGCTCCCAGCTCCGCTTTCACCTGAACTGTTCCACAGCCTGAGCCTCAGGTCTGGAACCCCTGGCAAGGTCTAGCTCTGTCTGGGGTGCCCCTAGGAAAACTTTTGTGGGCGCAAAAGGCACGGTGACCTACCCCAACAAGTAGTTTTAGTCAAAGTTATCAGTAATAGGCAGTGAGACAAATGAGCATACTAACCACAAGGCTAATAAATGTATCCCTTACATAGTAAAAAAAAAAGAAAAGAAAAGTCAACAAACATTTTTATAGAAATGTTTGTTTTATTTCTTTATTTCACTTTCTCGAGGTGAAAAAAAACACTAAAAGCATTTTTTTGAGGGGGACCATGTAAGTGTCTAAATAATCTAGATAAAACCATATAATATCTCACTATGCATAGTCTATCAATGGTGCTTATACTGATGAGGCTTTCCAAGACAGTCACCTTTATTTTATGAACTAAAGTTGGGAGAAAAACTCTGTAGAATATATTATACACGTATACTTTTTTGCTATGTATAAGTTACATAATTACATTTGTCCTTTTCTGTGTACGTTAATCAAGAAGTTGGTCATTATGTTGCAGATTTTCACAGCCCTTGCATTTAATAGACCTGTTAACTGTGGGCTCCGGGTCACTGTCCAGTGATACACTGGACCTGTTAACTGTGGGCTCCGGGTCATTGTCCAGTGATACACTGGACCTGTTAACTGTGGGCTCCGGGTCATTGTCCAGACTGGACCTGTTAACTGTGGGCTCCGGGTCATTGTCCGATGATCCACTGGCTAAACGCCTGTGATCTTAGGTCAGAGCAGGTTGTATTTCTGTTAGGAGGTTGCCTCTTACTCTTCTCCATGATGAATTGGAAAAGTAGAAGCAGCACAGGTTAATTTAATAGTTTAAAGCAGTGATCCCCAACCTTTTTGGCACCAGGGACCCATTTCATAATGAAACTGTTTTATCTCAGATCATCAGGCATTAGATTCTTATTGTCATAATGAGTGCACAACCTAGATCCCTCGTATGCACAGTTTACAATAGACTTCGCGCTCCTGTGAGAATCTGATGCCACCACTGATCTGACAGGAGGCGGAGTGCAGGTGATAATGCTCACTTGCCCGCCTCCCACCTCTTTCTGTGCCGCCTGGTTCCTAACAGGCCATGGACCAATACCCCTGGTTTAAAGGACAGAACCTGATTCTTCTATAGAGTGTAGCCAAGCAGCAGATAGTGGAACAAACTGGTTTCCCTTTACAGAACTGATGTGACTGTACACTTACATACTTTATTTATACTGTCACTCTTTAGTAGCTGAAACGTTTGTGCTTAGCACTTGCTTATACTTCTAATTAGTGTTTTTATTATGTGAATGCTATTCCAACCCAAATGTGTTCTTAGATGATTTGTGAATAATCCTAATTGCTCAAATTTCTTCCTAGATCTGTTATTTTGAACCACATGGCCAGAGAACATGCTTTCAACATTGGATTGCCAGACAACATTGTAAACTGCAGTGAATTTTTGTGTACATTACACAAAAAGCTTGACAAGTAGGTACTGATTTATGGAACACTGCCTAAAGCTCTTTTAATCTTGGACTCTGTTGTGAATTTTTTAAAATTAATTAAATAGAGTAATTAAAGAAGCAGGAGTTTCCCATGTTGGAGGAGTTCTCATTTTGTGCAACAGTCCTTATTTTGTCTAGATCATATTGCCCTTTGGTGTTTTTTAAATTTTTCAAATACACTATGTCATATATACCAAACAATATACATATCACACAACATATGCTATATAGGATATGAAGAATATACTCACTGTCTAACCTAAGAAATAGAGCATTGTTAATTCCTTTGAATCTCCCTGTGTGCCTTTCCTCATTAGTATTTCCCCAGAAACCACTATTCTTAATTTTGGAATTGTAATTCCTTTAGTTTTCACTGTAACTTGTCTACATATTTAGTAAGGTAAATATATTGTCACATTATGGAACGGTGTTTAATTTTGTGTGAAATGTAGTGTACTGTATGTATTCTTCTCCCTTTTGGTTTACATTCACATTTGTATATAATACTCCATTTCCTCAAGGTCACATTCTGGCAACTATATCCAGAGCTTAGCCTGTTGAAATAGGGAAGAAAATTCTTTAGGTCACCAGAATGACTTTCAAAAATGTATCCACTTTTTTTTCTAGGAAAAGAGCCCAAAATTTTTTCTCTGAGAACCCAGTTTTTTTTATTCAAATAAAATACTAACAAGTGTGGTGCTTCAACCCATAGCATTGAGAGCAACAACATTAAAGATAAAATAAGACCCAGGCACAGTAGCTCACAACTGTAATCCCAGCACGTTGGGAGGCCGAGGTGGGCGGATCACCTGAGGTCAGAATTTGGAGACCAACCTGACCAACATGGAGAAACTCCGTCTCTACTAAAAATACAGAATTAGCCAGGCATGGTGTTGCATGCCTGTAATTCCAGCTATTCGGGAGGCTGAGGCAGGAGAATCGCTTGAACCCGGGAGGCAGAGGTTGTGATGAGCAGAGATTGCGCCACTGCACTCCAGCCTGGGCAACAAGAGCAGAACTCTGTCTCAAAAAAATAAATAAATAAATAAGAGGTAGCAAGTAATCCAGATTAATTACAAAAAGTTTTAAATTCAAATTCTGATGTCAACACTATGTTAAATCGAGTCCCTTCACCCTTTTGTTAAATGACTATTTATAACATAAGACCAAATGTGCCTTCTAGCAAGATTAGCAATAATGAATATCTATAATCAGCTTATCCCCCATAAATTGTCGACCATAACAGAATATACTACAAAAGAATATTATTATGCCCTGGAATATATTATTTGGCATAAGAAATTGATGAAAAGGTGTTTAGTAGAGATAAAAACAAATTCAAAATTGAAACAATAACAGATTGCAATCATTTGAGAGTTTCCCATGTAAAAGATATTTATACTTAGACACTGTGTGGCTCCAGAAAGTAGAACTCTCTACTTTTTACTGAATAGCAGTTATAATACATGTTGTGTCAACTCTCAGGCTTAGTATGAGAAAGACATTTTGTTAATAATCTGCTCAAAACTGGTAATTGCTGCTTCATTAGGTAATGAATGCCCAGTTGGTGGAAATATTCGAGCAGAAGGTATATGAGAATTATATGGTAGTAACAGCTACTATTTATCTTATTCACATACATGAATAAATACCTAGCACAGTTCATAGTGCACAGTGAGTGCTCAATAAGTATATATATGAAATTGTCATTTCAAAATCTCTAAAATGTTGGTATTCAGTTTAGAAATCAGAAAATGGCAACAGAGAAGGCAAGTAACTTTACCAAGTCCCCCAGCTAGCTGGCACTGCAGCAAGGAATTAAAACCTGCAAATCAGCTCACAGGATATCGCAAACCATGCAGTAATTATTATATACACTGGGTGCAGTCAGTGCAAGTCATTATAATTATATGAAGAACATACCTACATACTTACTTTAGAATTGGTAATTCAGTTAGTAAAGAACCAAAATGATTTTTGGATATGACCTATCTTTGTCACAGTCTTAACTAAAGAGCCAAGTTGGTCAGTTTAGCTAACTAAAAAATACACCATAGTATGCACTCTACAAAGCCAAATGAATAAAGTGAGGGGGGATTTTGACAAGGATGGTATATCCCATTTGAAGATTCTGTGTGACCTAAAATGAATAAATACAAAACTCAATAATAATAAAGGACTAGGCCGGGCGCGGTGGCTTGAGCCTGTAATCCCAGCACTTTGGGAGGCCGAGACGGGCGGATCACGAGGTCAGGAGATTGAGACCATCCTGGCTAACACGGTGAAACCCCGTCTCTACTAAAAAATACAAAAAAGCTAGCCCGGCGAGGTGGCGGGCGTCTGTAGTCCCAGCTACTCGGGAGGTGGCGGGCGTCTGTAGTCCCAGCTACTTGGGCTGAGGCAGGAGAATGGCGTAAACCCGGGAGGCGGAGCTTGCAGTGAGCCGAGATCTGGCCACTGCACTCCAGCCTGGGCGACTCCGTCTCAAAAAAAAATAATAATAATAATAATAATAATAAAGGACTATTGCAGCAACTATACAAGAGACTTGTTTATCAGTGTTTGTATATTTCTTGTAGTTTACAGTGCTTGTACTGTGAGAAGACCTTCAGGGACAAAAATACACTTAAAGATCACATGAGGAAAAAACAGCATCGTAAGATTAATCCTAAGAACAGAGAATATGACCGATTTTATGTCATCAATTATTTGGTAAGGCTTTCTTTTCATAACTTAAAATTTGATTGCAGTACTGCAAACAAAATCTTTCTGAGGACCAACTAATATTTGAATAAGCAATTAATGCAAAGGTCAAAATGTAATTGAGGGGAACATTCAAGTAGTGATTAGCTTTAAAATGGTTAGAGTACAAGACACTGGATTTGATTTGTCTTTTATTTGACAGTGTTTATGTAGTAAAAATGTCATGTCTCTAGAACTCACAGTCATCTTGACCAAAAAAAAATAAAAATACAGTATTTGGATATCCACATACCATCCCCCATTTATGTAATATCTTTTAACTTGGGACCAGAGACTCCTTTTTTTTTTTTTCTTTTTTTCTTGAGACAGAGTCTTGCTCTGTCGGCCAGGCTGGAGTGCAGTGGCATGATCTCGGCTCACTGCAAGCTCCGCCTCCTGGGATCAAGCAATTCTGTCTTGGCCTCTCTAGTAACTGATATTGCAGGTGCGTACCACTGCACCTGGCTAATTTCTGGACTTTTAGTAGAGACAGGGTTTCTCCATGTTGGCCAGGCTGGTCTCAAACTTCTGGCCTCAAGTGATTCACCTGCCTCGCCCTCCCAAAGTGCTGGGATTATAGGTGTGAGCCACCACACCTGGCCAGAGAGACTTCTGTATTCTGTTCAAAAGAAACTGTTGAGTACTGGATGTGTTAGGTGCTATGCGAAATAATTCTTTAAAAACAATCTCTTTGCTCTTTCCCTTTCACCCCTACAGGTGTGTATCTTTATCATTCTCTTCAGACAGTTTATTTTTAAGGGAAGTTTTACCATTTTACCATGAAATGGGATTTTTATTTGTTGGCTTGTGGGGTAGACTAACCAGGTGACCATGCCAAGGATTTTAAATGTGTTGATAGCTCTCCTTCCCCAGAAACCTCAATGCCGTTTGCTGGCCTCTGTAGATTTCAAGAAGAGGCATTCAAATGGAGACAGTAGGGGTTGGGGGAGAGGCATTTGGAAATATGGGAGGGTATTTTTGATAGACAACAATGACTGGGGAGTCTTACTGGGCCTGCCTTCAATCTACTGATTTTTAAAATATATATATTTGTCATACATTTTTATATATTTTTTATATATGACAAATGTGTATGACTACTCATATAAAAGAAGAGGTTATGTAACTTTCCAGAGGAACTGGAAGAAAAATGGAGAGTTCTGTTTTGAATGGGCATTTTTCTTAAGCAAATGGAAATTATTTTTTCTCTCAGTGTAAATGAATTAAAACCCAAACCCACTGGTCACAAAAGGCTAATTGAATATAATCAGCCATTTTATCTATTAGATAGAAACAAGCATATCCTGAATTATGCTGGAAATCTCTGCTTTAGGGTAGAATTTTGTCTGTTCTAACTAATCCTTGTAGTGTTAAAATTCCCCTTGAGAAGCAAGTTTAACATGTGTTTGAAGATTGACTCTAAGAGGTTGCCATGGTTTTCTACAAATGTTTTACAACCAGCTAAAGGCAAACGTACCCTTTGAGCCCTTCCATCTTTTCTTGAAATCACTCAGTCATTACTTCCTAGAGCAAATGCTGCCTCTGGACCCAGCCCAGTCTAATAGGGAGTCGACTTCAGTGCTAGCTCTAAGAAATATTCAGCTACTGCATCTAGCTATAGGAGCAATTTAATAGTTCTTCCTTCTGGGGCTCTTTTAAAACTAATGTTGAAGAGCTTGAGACTAGCAGAACATTATATAGCTGGAGGTTTTTACTTTTTAGAGGAGACTTCAAAGGATTTGCTCACTCTTATTCTGCCAGCACTTTTAGAAAAGTATGATACTTCATTTCCTGGGCATCAAGTAGGGTAGCTGTCAAAACTGAAATCATCTGCCAGGGCCAGCCATCTCTAGATGAGCGTGCTAGATTGTGCTGCTCACACAGGGCAAGGATTTGATGTGGCGTGGACCACAGATTTAGAGAAGTGTTTCAAGAGAAAGTAAGGACTTTAACAATGTACAAAATGACAATTAAATTACAACTTTAGAGTCATATTGATAGAAGTCCTTTTTTTAACTAGCAGCTATTTGAGTACTTATAATTTGCAGGCACTATCCTAGGTATTTATATTGAATTATTTAATTCGAGTCACATTTTTATGACACAGGTATTGTCATTAAGCCTCTTATAGGTAAGGGGACTGGGCACAGAGAGGCTAATTTTCCAAAGGTCACATGGCTAGGGCAAATTACTTATCCTGGGCATCAGTTTCCTTCATTTTTACAATTGAGACAAGACTAGTACCTACATCTAATGCTTTGGGTTGAGTATTTTGGCCAAGTAATGGTGATGAGTTCATAATGATCTGTTCACCCACCCTTGCCTATTCTCTTTTGTAATAACTAAAAAGTGAGCCAAGGTCAAAGTAAAGCTGACGTTAATCAGCACTTTAAGGCTGTGCTCCACAATCTTAGTCTTCCTAGCCCAATTCCGATTCCTGTTCCTATTCCCTGTTTTCTATTCCCTATTCCTATGTGAAATTCTTGCTGAGGTAAATAACCAAAAACTCTTATGATCAACAAAAAAAGAAACCCTAAAATGTGTTACGATGCCTTAGCATTGTGGAAATGATGTAAACACCTTTGAAAAGGAGGGAAGAAACCTATCGGCTTCACTAAAGACATACCCATGCGCTAAACTAGAGGGGTGCTCACCAGAGGTATCAGCCGCAGTAACATTCGAGGAATAGTTGTTACAAATTAAAAGTATAATAATATATAGAACAAGTGTATAAAAAACTGTCCCAAATACTAAGAGTAGAGGTAGAGAAAAATAAAGGCCAATGTCTTCTCAGTATCATTTTAGTATTATTCCAGACCTCATTAAAGAATAATATTTAACGCGAAGAACATGAATAATAAATCGATATGAAGAATAAATTCTAAATTTTACTTAAACAATAATGACAATATTTTATTTAAAAAATATGTATATATTCCCTTGTTATCCCTCTGAGGGAAAGGGCTGACATGAGTGTGGGCAAAAGATAGAATTGTTTATCTTAGTAATCAGTGTTTATACATTATTTTATTGATGTCATACATTCTACATACATTTGAGTGCCTTCCAGCTACCAGATGCTAGAAGAGAAAGAAAAAATATTGTAGATAGAAAGGCTGATTTGAGTCACTACTTTCAAACAGTTCAGGAGTCGGTATGGAAGACCACCACGTAAGCACGTTAGTTTGAACCCTTTGTAATGGTATATCAAAAGTCAGCGTTTGACCTCTCCTATAGCAAATATATGCAGTCATTGAGTCATTCACACACAGAGCTCCTCACTCCACTTCAAATGCCATAGAGACTGCCAGCGCAACAGTGATGGGAGCATCCAGGATATCCGTGGCAAGATACACTCTAATAGGCAGCAGAAGTAGGAGAGCCAGTGGACAGAGGGGCTGCTTTTGGCTTTCTGAGCTCAGCAAATTGACAAGTTCCGTTTTCCTCCTTAGATGAGATAATTTCTGTGCTTAATCATTCATATCAGTTTCTGAATAATTGCAGACTTGCAAAAACATTAAAATTCGTTTGCATAGTCTGAATTATCTACTTCAAATTCTTGCTTTCTTTTCTCACAAACAAAAGAGTTCAGCAGGTAGTGAGGATGAGTTGGAGGTAAGGTGCCAGTTAGTTTCACATTCAGATAACCTTTCCTCAGAGGGCAACAGACTGCTTAACATCAAGGCTTCAGCTGCATATTCCTACGATGCTCATGTTTCAAACCCTGAGTTTTTCTAAAGGGAATTGGTTTTGCCATGATTTTTATCATTCTTTGATTTAAATTTTTTTTATTCTTAAAGTATACAAAACCACTTATAACAAAAGTAGGCTTTTAACTGATTTTTCATAGTTTTTTGTAGTTCTCCCTAGTGAAATTATTTACTCTGAAAACGCTTTCTGTTTCTGATGGAGTTTTGTGTAAGCACACGGAAGTGACTATGTATTAGGGCAGAAGTGTGATGGGTGAAGGGGATCTTTTTCTTCCATGTTTTTTCCACCCTCTCATTGTTCATGAGCCATCTGATGCAGGGCTTTGAGGGGGTGTCTGAACATCTTTACTGATATGCCTTCCAAACTTTGTTTTTCTTACATTCTTTGCTTTCCTGACATGATTCGTTAGCAGGCATAGTGTCTTAATTAGAGAGTTACATGGTTTCTTTGGTTTGTTTTTTGTTCTTGTTTTCGCTTTGGGTCTTGTTTCTATAATAAATCATATCTCTAACTGTACCAAAGCAGAGCACTCTAGGAAACTGGGCCACTGTCACGTGCAAATTACTTATTTCCTAATATACTAGTAAACATGGACATTCATTTTCCTCTCAGGTGGGGTAAGTGGTTAATGCTGTATGGCCTAGATAAATCTCTACATATTGTACCTAACACTACGGAAGTTGCAAAATAATGCTTTGAGTTTAGAAGTTTAACAGTGGAAGATATTTTTTGTTACTTTTGGCTCAAAATACTCATTGACAAGCAACATTTGCCCTTATCATTCAGAATGATCAAATTACAGAAGGCCTGTACTTTAGTAATACCTTGCATCAATAAAACCATGACCTTAAGTCCAAGTACAGAAAAACCAAGTAAGGCATGAAAGATTTAATTCATTGCCCAACTTTCTAATAAGCATCTTGTTGGTAGTGTTGAGGCCATTTTTGGTGTTCCGTAATGAAGTTCAGACACTTCCTGATGACTCTGGGAAGCACATTATAGAGTCCAAATTAACCCTCTCTAATGACGTTATGATAGATCTCTATATATTTAAATGTATGCATCATTTAGCTGATAGATAATGACAGCTTCGAAACCTCTCATTAAGTTGATAAATTATGGATTTTCTTTCTTCCCCTAAATCATAATGGCACTCATAGTTCTTTGTTTTTAGCTAGATGAACACCTTTATTTGGGGGGGAAAGACTCCATAATTGAGTGAATTTTGGTTGTGTTTTTCCAAAAGAAGGATATTGAACAACAAAGCTATCTGTGCTTGTAGCAGGTCAGGTGGGCTTGATTCTAACCATAGCTTAGCTGCTTGAAAACATATCCATTAGTGTTCCTACCTCTCTCTTTGTGACACTGTCTGCTTTTGCATGGCACAATGGGAAGACTGAATAGAAAGAAGACAGGGCAAGAAGAGAGGAAGAAATGGCCCAAGGGGAACAAAAGAAATGATTGGGTCAAAATAAATCATCCCTACTCATCACTCCATAAAGTTTTACTAGCACTATGACTAGGCTTACCAGACATAGCCCCAAAAGAGTGGAACTTTTCCACTGATGGTAAGGGATAAAACGGATTTTAGTAGGTACTAGAGCACCTACTCATGCCTAGTACTATTTCTTTATAGACAGTAACTCACTCATTTAATCACCTTAAAAAAACCTTTTGAGGTATAATCTAACTTGACCTCAAATGCATTTTTTTATTTTTTAGTTCTAACAAATTGAATTCTACTTTCCAATTCAACTCAAAAAATAGTTTATAGTAATAGTACCCACTATATGCCAGGCTCTGGAAATGTAACAGTGAACAAAGGCCATTAGAATCCCAGAGATTCTAATACACTTTCAGGGTTGAGAAACACTGGTTCAAATTTAAGAGAAAAGAATTTGATTGAAAGGATATTGCTACTTCTCTAAAAAATTATCACATTAAGGTTTCAACTTCATATTGCTTTTGCACTGTCATTAAGTCAAAAAAAGTGTTGAATCAAACAATCATTGAGGACCGTCTGTATATCCTACTTGTACTGTTTCAAAACCATTTAACCATGGGTGGTTTGTTTATTTTTTTTGGTTTTGGTTTTTCTTGAAGTTCTGCATACTCTCTCTCTTCTCTTTCCCCCAATCTCTCTCATCCCTCTGTTCTTCCTACAAAGGAACTTGGAAAATCATGGGAAGAAGTTCAGTTGGAAGACGATCGGGAGTTGCTGGACCATCAGGAAGAGTAAGACTTGTTATTGCTGCTAGTTAATTCCAGTGTTCCAGGAGTAAGAAGACAATGCTTTAGTTTGGTTTAAATTATGAAGAGGGAACCTAAGAAGAAAAAATACCTTCTCTGAGCCATGCATCCCTTCATGTCATGTGGCAGAAACTTGAATTCAAAATAACTTTCACATAAAAATTCCTAAAGACACTGTTATTCCAACTAAATTAAAGCTATTGATTGAACACACAAGTAATACATAATTCAGAGAAAAATACATTCCAAAATGCTTTGCCTGCTCAGTTGGTGCTCAGACCTTGAAGTGATACGATCTTTGAACTTTCCGTGTTGCTGTCATTGGAATAGAGAATGTAGCTGCATTGAAGTTAATCCTGTTCTGTGTTCCGGCCATTGATGACTAACTTTAAACATTCACAGCTTCTTTGCTTGAAATTATAAGCTTGAGAAATGTTCTTTTCAACCTAAAAGGGTTTCTTATTTTTCATCTTCTTTCCAGTCAAAGCTTTTTGGCCTTTTTTCTCTCTCAGGATTTTAAATTATTATTATTTTAAGAGTGAAGTAAAGCTCAAAGGTAGAGAGCTGCCATTTGCTGAATTTTCTTGATGCATAGAGATTCAGGCAGAGAGTCTTCCAGACTGAAATAAAAACATCTTTCCCATTAAAACACACTAGTTGGAATGTTTAATGGGTGAATGTTGAAGTTTTAATGACACAAAAGGTTATAAATAGTAAGTCATGACCTGAGCCAAGACTTGTGGCTCCCTCCTGGATGGATAGAGTTAAGGAAAATGTTTCCTGTTTTCTAATCGGGAAGCTTCTGTGCACATTGGGTTAGGTTGATCTTGAGAGTCTTATCAGTGATCATTTCTGAGCTTGCCATGAGAAATTCTCTCATCTGAGTTTGCATGGGTGTTCCTCATCTCCACAACTCTTCCCTCCTAGCAGTTTTCCTGGTTTGGGAATGATAAGAAGTTGGTAGTATTCCAAAAAGGTAAATGCAAGGAGCAGGGAAAGTGGTAAAAGGGATCTTGTATCCTTTTCGAGTTCGCTGTCTACCACCAGATATAACACTTGCCCAGTTTTAAATAATCAGTATTTCCCTCGTGAAAGAGACACGGTTTGCCTTTGTAAAATACACTATTTATCATGCAGAAACACATTCCCAGCATCACACCTCACAGCGTGTGCACTCAGTGGTTGTGGTTAATGAGAGAGAGCATCACATTTTCTGAAATGTCTCCTTTGCAAATTAAACCTCATTGTCTCAGGATGACAGTCCTCTGACTCCAGACTGAGATAGAGACTCAGAAGAATGGCAAATAGGAGAAAATGGAGCAGCACCTGTTCGCTATTTATATTAATTTCATGGTGCTGCTTTGAATTTCAAAAGCTGCATCAGAGAGTCATAATATGATGTGACAGTCTTTACCAAAATGTCAGAGTTGAAAGAGATTGGCAGGGTTTCTTAGTAAGAAGAAAGTAATACCAAGTCACTGTGTAGTATACTCTCTTAATGAAGGGAATGTCTGTATTTTCTCTTTTCTTTTTTAATTCAGCGACTGGTCTGATTGGGAAGAACACCCTGCCTCTGCCGTCTGCTTATTTTGTGAAAAGCAAGCAGAAACAATTGAGAAATTGTATGTCCACATGGAGGTAAGATACCTGTATTTATTTGAATTTTGTTTCATTCTGACAGGAGAAAGCTGGTAGTTGTTGCACCCTCATCTGCTTATACTTTAGTTTCTCAATCATTATTCCAAACACAAGAGACAGGCCAGGTCTGTCGGGGAGAACCAGAGCTCAGCGCAATTTAGTTAGTACAGTTGACTGAACCTGAGTGAGCTGTTTGTTAGTGTGAGATTTCTCAGACCACTGATGCCATCTCACCTTTGAGATGCTTACAAGATCATTCTGGCTCAGCAGGTGGGACAAGTTCTGAGTCTTTTTTACAGTGCTGCTTGTGCTGGTGAATAGGAGAGCAAGAAGGGAGAACATTGCCATTTACAAAGCCCCCGGAGGAATGGGAAAAAGGAGGGTGGGTAGAGAGGGTCTAGGGCATGATCCTACACTTCCTTCAGGTGCCAGCATTTGGAGAGAATAAATGAGGGAGCATTCCTAGTGTGGGCTTTCCCTTCTAGATGCCATTTTTATGTTATAGTGAAGCTTGGAGCTAGCAGTTCTAAACCTTTTTCACCCCCGTATACCTGGAGAGGACATACACCCTACACTCTGATCCTTAGCTGCACAAGGCGGATAGGGAAGAGGAACATCTAATGATTCATGACAGTACCACAGCTTGTGGGCAAAGGGCTGATTATAATAGAAAAATATTACTAGATGATTCTGGTATCTCTCCCTCCCCTCCCTGCAGCCACCTCTGCCAATAGTGGACCATATTCTCTGCTTTCACCCACTTTCACCTCACCCTTATTCAGAAATACTGTTCACCAAAACTTACTTCTCACATCTTAGTTTAGTAAAATAAGGACCTAGAAAGCGCCCAAAAGACCATAACCTTTTACCCTGATTTTAGTTTCTCTGAAAAAGGTTCCCACTAGTATGTGTGTATAATTTCCTGTGTTTAGATTTAATTCATAATATCTTAATGTCTTTGTATTGAAGGCAGCCTTAGTATGTCTATCCTGTGTAGGGATTACCTTTCTGGCATCCTTGACAGGTGTCCTTAACCTCTGCTGGGTCACTCTCAGTGATGACATCACCAATTCCTAATCATCCTGCATACGGTGCTACACTAAATGCCATCCCAATGAGTTAAATGGTCTTTATCCTCTGTGAGATTGTAGGTTAAAACATTGACACAGACAATTGCCGGTGTCAAACAAGCAAAAAAAAGTCTGCATTGTAAAAATAAAAAGAAAGTGTGATTTATAGGAAGGTGTGAGTGAAGAGAAACTTTCAGGTTTAAACAGTGTATTTGACAGCATAAAATGAAAAGCAGAATTTGTAAAAATTACCTATGTGGGGCAAAGAACCTATATCCATAATTCTAGTCCAAATGAACAGTACAATAGAAACATATATTACTTATACTTTTATCACACTGCAGAATTCATACATAGACTTCTACATTTTTAGAAGGCTACAAAACGGATACATTGTAAATTATAAAAACTATAGATATAAGCTATGAGCAATTATAATGTTGTTGTTGTTGTTTGAGATGGAGTCTTGCTGTGTCACCCAGGCTGGTGTGCATTGTCGTGATCTCAGTTTACTGCAACCTCTGCCTGCTAGGTTCAAGCGATTCTCGTGCCTCAGCCTCCGGAGTAGCTGGAATTGCAGGCACCCACCACCACGCCTAGCCAATTTTTGTATTTTTGGTAGAGACAGGGTTTTGCCATGTTGGCCAGGCTGGTCTCAAACTCCTGACCTCAGGTGATCCTCCCGCCTCAGTCTCCCACACTGCTGGGATTATAGGTGTGAGCCACCATGCCCAGCCCAATTACAATGGTTTAACTGATTGACATGACTTGTTTGGACTGTAAAAAGAAGTTGGGTATGGAGGGAAGTAGTTAGACTTAGAAGACTTTAAAAGCAGAAGATACCAAACTCAGACTGAGTTTCTAAACTCCTGTGAATAAGTTGTTTATAACTTCAGCCTGAAAGATTAAATAATTCATTTGCTTACAAATGTATTCATTCCTTTTTTTAGGATGCACACGAATTTGATCTTCTCAAGATAAAGTCAGAACTTGGTAAGTTTGATTCAGAAGTGTTTTTCTGTGATGCTTCATTTTTTATAAACCATTCTGTAAACTATGCCTATGTTCAGTAGCTACGATTGGAGAGCGCACCACCAAAACATGTCTCTCTATATATGGTCTTGACAGAACTCTCTGTGAAGCAGTGATGCTCAACCATAACAGTCAAATATGGTTTTTGGTTTCATATACTCCTTCTTCCTCTTTCCTACATATACGACTGCTTCAAATGGAATATAAATTAGTGATTAATAATATATCATAAATTGCAGGGGGCTAGTAGAATATGGATTTTTAAGTCAAACTAGAGTTCAGATTCCAGCTCTGGCATTTACTGGCTATCTGACATGGGGCCTCGGGTAAGAAAAATGTTCTGAGGAGTGAGTAATGTATGGTAAATGCCTACTGCACTGCTTAGCAGTATAGCTAGGATTGTTTGTTGTAGGTGTACCCAAATGTATCATTCTCAGTATCACAACAATAGAAGGATTTGGGGCATTAGGACATAAATAAAGTACTGACTTGCTAATAGATCTAAGACAGTAAAAAACTTACTTCTCACATCTCAGCTCCATCACTGTTTTCCTGGGTCCTTGGATGTGTTACTTTGCTGCTCTTATAGACATGTATATACATTGCATATATAATTAGCTTAGTAGTCAAGCACATGGGCTTTGCAGCTGACAGCTATCTATGCAACCCTGGGCAGTTTCCTAATATGTAATGTAGGTATGATACTACCTATCTGATAGGGTTTTATGAAGATTAAATGTATTAATACACAGAAAATTATTAGAATAGTGCCTAGCTCATAAGCCCTATGTAAATATGGGCTGTTATTATTTGGTATCTATTATGCTTTATAATTGTACTACCTCTTCAGGTTGATTAAGAAAAATAAGTGGCTCCTTTAAGAAATTATAACAGTGCAAAAAATGGGTCTGAACAGTTGTCTAATGTTTCTGTATTTTGTCATTTTCAGGATTAAATTTCTATCAGCAAGTGAAACTGGTCAATTTTATTCGGAGGCAAGTTCACCAATGCAGATGTTATGGCTGCCATGTGAAGTTCAAATCCAAAGCAGACTTAAGAACTCACATGGAAGAAACTAAACACACTTCGCTGCTCCCTGATAGAAAGACGTGGGATCAACTGGAGTACGTACTGCAGAACCACATGTGCACTTCTTTACTCCCTTTGATTTTGTCCCTTTATTTAATTTATTAAAACTTACAGAAAAAAAGGAATACATGTTTATTATAAAAAGTATACATCAGTATAGTGTAGGGAAAATGTAAAAATCTTCAAAATGCTTATTTTTAAAATAATCCCCCTCTTACAAATGAAACCAAGTATTTTTCAGTATTTGTGATATGGAGATAGATACATACATAGAGAGATGAAGTAGATACAGATTTTTTAAAGTATATTTTATTAACAAAATATTGTAAATATCTTTCTATAGCCAGTATCTATCTGTTGCATCCTTTCTAATGGTTGCCAAATATCCATTGTATGGATATAATCTGTTCTGTTAGATGCTTAGGTTGTTTCTTACTTTTTGCTATTATGATACAGTAAATATCTATATGCCTACATTTTAGCCACTTATCTAATTATTGAATTAAGCTGAACTACTAGAAATGAAATTACTATGTCAGAGTTTGTACACTGCTAGGACTTTTGGTATATATTTTGTATATTGGCACTTGAAGAAATTAAGCACTTGGTCATCTGTTGTTGGATTCCCAAGTATTCTTTGCCAGAACCTTCTGGACTGGTTCCCAAGTATCCTTTGCCAAGAACCTTCTGGACTGGTTCTCACATCATTCTGGATAACCTCAGTCAAGGGCTCCTCTGAGAGGCTGTGGGGTTCTAGCTGCCCGGAGCTCCTTCTGTTCTTAGGGAATAAGTCAGTTCCCCCAGAACTTTAACCAGAAATTTCTAGTTTTTCTCCTTCAGAAAATCCCACACTTGTGAGGGTATCCTGTTCTTATAATCCTTCTTATATAAATTAAGATTTGTAGTATTCCAAAAGTAACTTCAAAGTGTATTCAGAGAAGAAACCAGAATAACAAACTTCATATTCTGTAAGTGTTTCCTTTTGTGATTAGCTAGAAAGAAGGAACGATTAGGCTGTAAAACAAAACACAAGGGAGAGCTTATTATTCTCAAGTATTTGAAGAATTTGTGTTTGAAAAAATAACTATATTTGAAGTTTGTTAACTTATAAGGAAGAACTAGGACCTTTGAGTAGAAATAAAAGAGATGTCATTTTTAGCTTCATAGGAGGTGTATCAAACGACTAGAGCTACCCACTACTGGGGTAAGCTGCCTTCAAAGATCGTGTGTTTCTTACCATGATAGATGATCAAGCAGAGGCTAAGTGGCCAGCGGGCATCTCCAGAGGCAACTCTGGAGCCTGGGAGGTCCACGATCTTGGTTTACCAAATCTAGATAGTAGATTTGGTAAGGTTGATGTCAGCCAGTAAAAGTCAAAGTGAAAGCAATCAGAATTTGTCTCCAATGTAGCCTTTGCAAAATGCTATGAAATTGTTGGCAAGGATACCTGGCAAAATTATAGTAAATGTGTACATTCAGCCACCTGAACAATGTATTAGTTTGGTAATTTAATACTATGTATCTGTGGTTGTTTTCAGGTATTATTTTCCAACCTATGAAAATGACACTCTCCTGTGTACACTATCTGACAGTGAAAGTGACCTGACAGCTCAGGAACAAAATGAAAATGTTCCCATCATCAGTGAAGATACATCTAAACTGTATGCCTTGAAACAAAGCAGTATTTTGAACCAGTTGCTACTACAAGAGTGCTTGAAAAACTAGAAGAAACTACCACAGAAGCAATTTTTCATGTTTTTCTTCTATGAGACAGGCATGAAAGAATAATTTAAATTTGAACATCAGCAAAGGATTAGTCCTTGGTGAAATAAACTTTTCAAAAACTAATGTTCTTTTCAAAAAATAAAGTAGGAAAATGCACTTACTAAGAACATGAAAAAAAATGAAGTAGGAAAATAAGATGAAGACTTTGTATTTTGGCTATCAAGTTTTATTATGTGATCATCTTAAATGAGCTCATTTCATTAAACTCATAATTATCTACAGAAGGATATGTAATTTGAATAAGATTTGTAGCGTAAATGTTATGGTTGTTGTTAATTTCCAGATTTGATAACCTGACTGTGGGATGAAATGTCTTGTGGTTTTCAGGAATATTGAATACACACTGAGTATTTAGCGGGTAAAGGGCATTTTGTTGGCAACTCTATTCCACAAAAAAGCTAACATGCGGGTATACTAAGAGAATAATGAAGTGAACCATGGCAAAGATGTTCAACATTTAGGGAATCTAGGTAAAAGTATGTGGAGATTCATTTGTACTAGCAACTCTTTCTGCAAGAGTCTGAAATTATTTCACAAATTAAAACAGATTTTTAAAAAAATGTCTTTTTTTAGCCAGCGCGCACGAGTGCTCAGCGCCTTGTAATCCCAGCACTTTGGGAGGCCTGAGTGTGAGCGGACTCGAGGTCAGGAGTTTGAGGCCAACCTGGGCCAACATGCGGTGACACCCCTCTTTCTATTAACCCCGCAATACAAAAGTGCTTGGGCTGTGGTGGCGGGCATCTGTAATCCCAGTCTCGGCGAGGCTGAGGCAGGAGAAGTTCGCTTGCAACCTCGCGTGGGCAGTTGCAGTGAGATTATAGACATTACATGCCATTGCACTCAGCCTGGGTGCCCAGAGACAGAACTCATCTCAAAAAAACAACACAAAAAAACACAACACACAAGCACCTATTTTAATACTTACAGTTGGAAATATATATATTCACAATCCCACTATCTTCACAGATATCGACCCACGCTCCACATAAAGCCTGTCATTTGAGCTGGTATGGCTCTTAAGGGTCTTTTAATATATAACACCAAAAAAGAAACAAAGAAATATCACAACTTTTTTATTTAAC